GTATGTATATTAGAATGTGGTTAATTATAGAGTTGGTTGCATAGCGTATTTGCAATTAAATGCTGATATAGATAAAATTGTATCGAACTGATAACATGCGTAAAAACATCACGTGATTACAAACATGTGCTGATGGTATTTACGATAAATAGAGATTATTAAATTTACAATTTTATTAATACAATATTTCACTGTTCAGAAATACTTGCTGAAAGGACAGTTTTGAAAGAAAAAATTCTGTGTATCAAGGTGGAATTAAAAAAAGAAAAATAAAAAAAACTAGCAAACGTGATCGAATAAGAAATAAGATTGAAGATAAGAAATAAAGTATAAGTCATATAAGTAAAATCGAATATTGAATCGTTTTTTTTTTTTCCCATACTTTTTCTTTATCTCATTCAGTGCATCTTCTTGAACTTTTCGACATACGATAGTTTGTGTAAATGTATTTATTTTTATCTGAAATATAATATGTGTGGCGCCTACCCGCGCCTATTCGCATATGCATTTGTTGCGTAATAAGAAATCGCGCGCCTGATATTTCCGCCATTTACGCGACCTTTAGCCAGCCAGTTCTAACAACTAATGGCGTTGGAAGATTCTAGATTTCGCGATATCGAGCGCTTTCTAGTAGACTCGGGTCTAGTTATATATCATCTATTATTCCTTGTTCTTTACAAATTGAAAACAAACGATAACTTGTATCGATTTGTATTTCTTGTTTCGAATGTTGTGTCTTTTTGAAGACTGGAACTATATTACAAAAAAGAAGATGTGTCTTTTGCTGAAAAGCACTGAAAAGCATTATGATCTGTGAAAAATAAGTTTAAAAGATATTTTATAATTTAAAATACATTTAAATTATATCAGTGATAATTGTGTTTTAAATTTATGAGATAGACACAGAATTGTAGTTTTAATTATTTCAAATAAGTAATAGTAATGTCTTATGTGCTTCAACATTTTATTTAATCAATTATTTATATCATAAACTGACAAAAACAAATCGATAAAATAATCTGTCAATAAAATACTTTATTTGGATTAGATATCAGACAGTATGCAATATCTGCGATATCAGTATGCATATCTCTTATAAAAATTTAATACTGGAAGATAGTAATTAATTATTTATTTTGATTATTAAAAACACCGAATAATAGTGTTTTTAATATTCAAAATAAATAATTTCCAGTATTATATTGGCCAGTATTAAGTTGAATTTTTATAAGCAATGTATTGAAGTCTTGATAAATATTTACAGTTATTGATCTATATATAAAAAATTTTAATGTTTTAGAAATAATGTTTAAGAAAAAATTTTATCAAAGAATCGATTTTAATATCAAAATATTTCCTTCGCAAAAACTTCATGCGAACAAAAGTGTTATATAAATATAGCCGGCAACTCAGCGAAATCTAATTATATCTTACATTTACATTACCTCATTTGATGCAAATAACGATAATTGGATTCAATAAATCTTGCTAAAACATAGTAATCACTTTCAAATAACAAACTAATATCTATTCACTTAATAAGGAGATTTAGGAGATTTCCAGGAAATGTGATCTGACAAGTTCGGAACATACCGGAATCAAAGATGTCTAGGTCGAGAAGAGAGATAAATACGAGAAGGAAAACTTGCCTTCCACGTTCCCAGACCGATGATCGGCACTTCATTGCCATTGTAAAACTTCACTTTCGGTGCGTTCAGGACCATTTTATTTGTCACCGACGTCGAGGATGACGAATGAAAAACACGCGAGAGAGAAAGAGAGATTCCGTGCGAACGTACGCCACGAAGGAAACTCGCCGAACCGAGTTACGATGCAACGCTGACGGTCTCGCCATGTCGGATTCCTTTTATAAATATCCCCACCTAAGAGACCAGACTGTTTTCTCAACGGACAAAATCGATTTTACTCCACTGTAGGCGCGGATCTTTGTATTGGAGTACCGACTGCAAGAATTGATTGCCGCGCGTTACTCATAACTTTCATTTTGATTTACTAACTTTCAATATAACTTTCATTTTGAAGTGATATTCAGCTTGGATCGATAATAATTATTATTCAGCTCGAATCAATATCATAATTATATTTAAATATTTAAACTTGAATTTTTTATTATTATTATTATTATTATTATTATTAACGAAATTATCGATGCAATTATCAATCTTTATTGATTTTTTTTTCTCGAGACAATTGTCATTTTTATCGCCTTTCGCTTAGCCATGCCTTGATAGATGTAGCGGCATTTTATGTTACTATACTATATGGAAATTATCATTTAACATTTGTATAACAAAAAGAAAACTGTCATATATTTAGAAATTTTAATTTTGCGCGTAGAATTGCGCACTTCGTATAACAACGATATCGCTGATACGTGACACTCACACAATGTATCGGCGTCGGCCCCAACAACAATACTAATTTAAAACGACTATGTAGTGGTGGCTCAATTCGCCTATCCGGCACCATGGAAAGTTACAAAGACCGTTTGGGACATTTGGAGCAATGAAACGAGCCCTTGACAACTCCTTGCGGAAGAACAAAGTTTCATTCACAGTAATATAACGTCTAATAAAGCCACTGAACAAAATTGATGACTCTGTGGTTGCATGACGAAATTGTAGCATAGTAAATTATTATCGTTAGTTACTAGCCTAATAGCAGATTTTGTATCTTTTGCTCTTTTTTCATCAAGTATAAATATTTAAATGATTTATGGATCCTGATTTTTGAATATTGAAAACTTTCCTAAAAGAGAAGAATGAGTATTTAATATCACTTGAACAATTGAATTCGTTATTATTAAGAATAATGAAATGCTGAGAAAAGGAAAAAAGGCATGTAAATATGTAATGTCAACAATTATTATTGGTTTAAAATTAATTTGATGACTAAATTGATTTTTTCAACAAGACAATGATAACAAGACAATGACAACAAGACATTTTTAACAACAAAATTTCACAAAATTATTTACAAATTATCTGAAATTATAATATTATTATATAATTATATTAATATAATTATGATTTAAGATAATTAAGGGATTGAAATTAAACTGACAATACTTTCTTTTCTCTCAATATTGCATTCTTCTTGATAATTAAATAATAACAAATATTTTGTAAAAAAATCAATCAAAATTTCAAAATGTAAAAAATATAATATTTTATATAAAAATTAAAAATTATATAAATTATATAAAATTGAATTAGAAAATTTTCGAATAAATAAATGATATAATTCGTAATGTGCACGATATTCCTCCAGACAATTCATAAATATTTTGCAAATGTGACAATTAGTATATAAACATAAAAAATTTCAAGATGTCGGAATTTTCCATCACCTTCAATAATTTTTATCTGTATCTGCATTAAAAATTGCAGCATATGAGACTTTTTGAGTATAGATTAAGTCATGTTTTATCACATTTTACATATATTATATCATATAACAAGTTAAACGGACTGGTCAAAAATTCATTCGTGCGAGTTGTCTTGGCCCAGACCTTGAAATTTTTCGCAGCGCCTGATAACTATAATTGGCTAGACCAAGGGTCGAGCGGACTTCAAACACTATCGTGGGAACATATGCTTTAAAGAGGATACTAATATGATCATTTATGATGTTACACTTATTTCCTGTTCTCTTCTAGATTCGATAAATTTGTGAGATTGATCTGATTACGAACTTTGATGAACGTCATATCATATTAATTACTTTTAATTGTATCTACACTTCTTAATTATTACATTTTATTGTATCTGTAAATAAAATCAAAAAGATAAAAAAAGGGAAAAAACAATTACATAATGTTTAAAAATATTTTCTGATTATATTTTAAAAGTAAGGTATCAATACAATTTTACATATCAAAATATATTGTAATAAGAAGATTAATTCAGAGATTAAATCTTTTTTTAATTTTTTATACGTTTTTGTTTATATATGTTTTGTTTTTTATACTGACTTTTCTAAAATGGAATATTGAAAGGATAGTATTTGAAATTCTTTGCCCTGCAACAGAAACAAAAAATATTGTTAGAAAAGAATTTTAAAAATATGTACATATTTACAATTTATATATTGCATTGTATAATATAAATTTTAAATATCTATATTTTTCATTAACACCTACTTTAGACGATTTAAAATTCACATCAAATAATTTGACGTATGCGTGTATTTTAACATACATTTTATCTGAATACGTATCCTCAATGTTTTAAATGTGTATTGTCTCTTTCTCTCTCTCGCGTATTATAGCACATGAAATTATAAATAAAATATTTCTCCTCAATTTCAATATTTCTCCTCAATAATCTCCTCAATTCTGATGTGAATTTTAGATCATCTAAAATATGCGCTTTTTGAGCATTAGCTAAAAAATAATATATTGTTTAATAAAGTTTTGATCAAAAAGATCTTGAGGCTCTAAAGTAGTCGCATATGAAAAATGATATAATAAATATTTTGTACAAATATAAAAATATAATATATCTTGTGTATCCTAATACTTACTGGGTGAAAGGCGCTATTCTTTCCCCAGTGCCGAGTTTACGGATAGCGTTCATCTCATCAGATGTCAATGTAAAATCAAAAATTTCCATGTTTTCTTTGATTCGACTTTTAGTTACAGATTTAGGTATCACGGCAACACCATGTTGATACTACAAAAGTAAAACATAATTATATATATATCTCTTTTAATTACATGAAATAATTCTGTCAATTTTTTTTTGTTGCGTACTACATATCGAAGTGCTATTTGCGCCGGTGTTTTCTTATATTTTTCTGCAAGTTTCAACATTAAGGAATTATTTAATTTATCAATGTCTGATGAATTTCCGGGTTGTCTCAATGGAGAGTAGCCAGTTACCGTAATGTGATGTTTCTTGCAAAAATCCACTAATTTTTCTTGATTTACGTTTATATTAACTTCAATCTGTGGCAAATTTTTTTTAATGTTAACATGTATTACAGCATTAATCATGTTACAAAGATAAATAAATTTGTATTTTAAAACATAATACAATTTAAATGGTACCGCATACTTGATTATTGACTGGTGCGATTTTAGCCGATTTAAGTAGACGAACGATTTGCTCGGAATTATAATTGCTGATTCCAATACTGCGAGTTAAGCCTTGATGAACACATTCTTCCATTCCTCTCCAGGTTTCCAAGTAATCAGTATCCGATTCGACAAGATTTTTGCTAGAATCTAAAGGTAACAAATTATCCCCTTCCTGAAAAAAATATTACTTATATGAATATTTATGGATATTACAGTTTGAAACAGTAGGACAATATTCATAGTTATTCCTTCATAAATAAAAATAAATATTTAAATTCTTTATTTTACAATTTTTACATAGATTATCCATTTTAGTAATCAGAAATGTCATACAAATTATAAAGCAAGTCAAAATCGAGGAAATATACGATAAGAAAATCTTGCAAAATATATTAAATTAGAAATATTTTTTGACAATATTTGTACTCGATAAAAATTGTATTTGTAAAATATACTATATTTGTAATAAATATACTATATAACTCTTTTTTCGTTAATCAATAAATATGAAATAGAAATTCTTTTGTAGCTTATTTATGTTAATGCTTGCCTTGAAAGCAAATGGCCAGTGAACTAAAAAGAGGTCTATATAATCTAAACCGAGATTGGCCAACGATTGTTTGCAAGCCGGAACAACAAGTTCTTCTTTGTGGAAATTATTCCATAGCTAGAAACAGATAATGTAGATGTTAATTTACAAAACAAAATAGTTCATTTAAACTTTTACATTTAGCGAACATTTTATAAAATTAATTGTTCTGAGTTTAATAGGCGACAAAACATTAAAAATTCTGAATAAATATTTAAATCGTATTTAGCAATGCATTGATCATACCTTTGTGGTAATGAATACATCCTCTCTGGTTACAGTACCATCTTCAATTTTTTCACGAACAGCTTCTCCGATTTCTTTCTCGTTACCATAAAAGAAAGCTGTGTCAATATGACGATATCCAAGATCTATTGCGTCTTTTACAGCTCTTTTCACATCTCCCATCTGGGATTACATTTTTTCCAAAAATGAAAAACAAAGAAAAAAATCTAATAACATCTATCGAAAAAATATCGAAAAAAATCAATTTCTTTCAGAGCTATATTTTGTTTAGGAAATTTTATTCTAGATTAGAATTTTATTTATTCTTGAATTTCATTATACAAAGAATATATTTAATAAAGATTCGATATTTTTAAATGTGACAAAAAAGATAATCAGGTATAAAAGATAAAACAGGTAATATGAATAAATTTAAATTTAAATAAAATAAAAATAAATTTAAATAAATTAAATGTAATTAAATATTAAAAATAACTTAAATAAATTAAACAAATAACATATTCAAAATAAAATTTTAAAATGCAGACATTTAAATGAGACATTTCTGTCCGAAATGTTCAACATTAAAATGAAAAGAAAATTAAATTCAAAACTCGATAGATCAGCTTCAGTAAACAAAATAAAATTAATAATAGAATATTAAATAAAAATTGTGTTATAAAATAGATAGAATTAATATAAATTATTGATGAATACAGGTGCAAATAAAGTCGATTCTACTTTAACACTGAATTTCAAACAGTTGAATTTCAAACAAAACGCGCGCGAAAACACAACTCATGGACGGATTCAAGTAGGCAAAGTAGTTGAGTGTGATTAATTGGATCTGAAGCTAAAAGCCAATCACATTTCAATCATATGAATATGAAATAGAGAGACTAACTGTTTTATCTACTTTAATTTTTTTCAATCGCATACAATTTACTGAAAAGGTTAACTACCTTGTCTATTTATTCTATAGTGATAATAACTCTAATGCGCACTAATATCGTTAATTGCAAAATATGTACCTTATAAGTTCCGAGACCCAGCATTGGCATTTTATATCCATTCGAAAATGTAACAGTTGGAATATTGGCCATTGCGATCAATCAAATAGACAGAAATGCAGAAAACGTGAACAAGGTCGCCAGAGGAAATAATTAACTGCAATAGAATTAGTATGACACATTCTACATAATTCATTTCAATGTAATCTACATTATAGATACATACGACGTGCGACTCGTTTACTACTATATAAATTACTTATTAATTACTTTTTAATAACTAGAAGGCACTGAGTAAAATGATTATCGAAAGAATAAAATGAACTACCGAAACCTCCGAAGACTCATCAATTATGATTATCTAACTAGGATTATCTAAGATAGATGGCCCTAAACTATAAACATAGGAAGAATAGATTCCCCATAAGCGGAAAAGAAAACATAAACATGACAATGAAAAAAAAAAAAGAGGACGTTTAAGCCCTTTCTTTTTTATATTTTTTTCTGTTAAACGAAAAGGAATAAACAGGAGTAAACAGTCAATTATATGATCAAGCTAATATTCTATATATCGATAAAATTTTCGAATGTATTGATTGGTTACAAGATAGAGAATTTTCGAAAACCTGAAAACTGCATTATTGTATATCCGATTAACACATTCAAAAAATTTGTCGCATAATATATAGAATATTAATTAATTACAAAATATAATTTTTTGGAATCTTGAAAACACTATAGCTCAACACACACACACACACACACACACACACACACACACACACACAAATTAATTTGCTGAGACATTCTCTGCTATGAATGCAGTTAATGCAATAACCTCGTAGTATATATAAAATTAGCATGTTTAAAAAAATTTATCATATGACAAATGAATTATTAACTTAAATCGTATTCTATGTTCTATGAAAAAAAATTTATTTGTTATATAAAAAAAAAAAGAATTGCGACAAATTATCACACAGATACAATTTTTACAATTTCATGACAGATATCTCGGTAATAAATTCATTGATGTTTTTTAAAGTCGGAAAAATCATGATTAGAAATATATCTCGAGTCGCTTAAAAAAATTCATTACGTAAAATATGACGACTCTGATTATCAGCACGATATTGACGTTCACTCTTGATGATAACTTCACACGCTCCACGTACCTTTTTTCTGACTGTTCCTTCTAACTCGACTCACGTGCTATTTATTCGACGGACATTACGTAATTTGATACGTACGCCGTAGCTCCATTCTTACTTCTAGTTGATTGTTAATAAAAGAAAATAAAGATGCTTATATAAAAGCAGTATCACTTCTTATTGCTCTTCAGAAATTTAATTAAAATTTTCGCACTGTAATGTTTAACTGTAGATTAGATAATGGAAAAACATTTTAATATCATAATACACAAGATAATATATGTTACATGTTATATTAAATAATAGAAATTATTGCAAGGTATATATTTATTAATATATTTATGAAATGTATGTATTACATTAACCGGTGTTATTTAGAAATAGATATCAAGATATAATTATAATTTTTCTAGTTTTAGATTTAACAACCGAGCCACCATGTGTATACGTCCCTGACGAAGATAAAGATCTGAGGCCTTGCGCAATGGAAGAAATATTAAACAGGAATAAATATTAAATTTTGGAAATAAGAATTTAAAATAAAGATTAAACATAACACAATGTACAATAGCATGATGAACATAAATAAGTATATGATATAGCTATATCTAATATTTATTTGATGCAAGCCATTATGCGTAACATTTATCTCTATTTATCTCTATTTTAGATTGCTATTTCGATTCAGATTGCTATTTTCACCAAAAGTATGATATTAACTATACCATAAATAGAATCTTTTATCAAATTGTCAAAATATTTTTCCTTCTAAATACTTGTTATTTTAAAATAATTAAATTCTTTATATTTTCTATAATCATTTTTGTAATTCGTATGTGAAAATGAGATTTATATATGTAATTTATATATGTAATTAGACGTCATAGGGAGAAAATATCCTTTCTCTTAAATCACCTGTTATATTTCAACATTGTTTGTGTAGAATGAAAAGTAGTTTCCATGCTTGTGTGTGTCGTAATATTGCTAGTCATTTTCTTCATATTTCAGATTCTACGTATATAATTGACAACTATTAAAGCAGGAAAAAAAGAGGAATTAAATGACTACTTGAAGATCGAGACTAGTCGAGAACTCGTGGACTCAACAATGGGAGAATTTAATCGCGTACGAATGTAATAAAAAATTTACTCTACAAATGTATGTCATCATATATGTTATATTAGTGTTATCGTATAACTGTAAGAGATTTTCGCCGTCAAAATTCCAAGTGAAAAGGATAATCCTTATGTGCTTTATACCTGAAAAAAATAGAGAATTTTTTAGTCGTTCGAAATTTTTGCAAATGAGATATTATTAAAAAACAATGGTTTACTCCTCCAAATGCACCAAATGCACATTGCAATCGAACTTATCTATAGTAGTAATTTCTTCCGGAGTTAACTTGAAGTCAAATATGTTAATATTTTCTTCGATACGTTTCTTCGAAACAGATTTTGGAATTGGTATGGTACCTATGTCGATCTGTTCGTGAAAAATCATTAACAAATTATTCCATCTATATAGGGTGTCTCAAAATTATGGGATATTTAATTTTCTTTAACTAATTTAAAATCGGTTTTTCTTTATTAAAGAAGAGTTATCAACTATTATTACAACTTTTTAATCTTCTGCATAAAATATTTTTTATTATACTTTAAATTAAGATTCTTTCTCTTTTCATTTTATTTCTGAAATCAATTGAAGAACTTCGTTTGTTGCCATCGATTTGGTTCTCGAAAATTTTTCGCAAAAGATCCTTTTTCTTCAATATAATTTGATAAAGATGATGTAACTAATGATAATACGTCTTACCAAGTATCTCAGAATAACTTGTGCGGGAGTTTTGCCATATTTGATTCCAATATTCACAATTTCTGGAGCATCGAGGACAAATTTCGGATCGCCGGATTTAGCCCAAGGCCGATTAGGTGAGCCGAACGGGCTGTAAGCTGTGACAGCTATGCCACGACTCGCACAAAAATCTCTCAGTTTCTTCTGATTCAGATTCGGGTGACATTCTATCTGATTCATTACCGGCTTTATTTGAGCGATCGACAACACGCGATCGATCTGCTCGGAGTTGAAGTTGCTGAGGCCGATACTTCTTGTTAAACCCAATCTCACGCATTCCTCCATGCCACGCCATGTATCGAGATAGTCTTCGTCTCCAAACATTGGATCGCCATTTTTGTCTACTGGTATTATTCCCTCAGCGTTTTCCTAAAATAATTGCTGGGTAAGTAAGAATAGTCAATGACCATTTGATTTTAATTTTTTCATCGTAATGTGACAACACGATATAATGTTTGCATTGCGCAGCTTTATTCTGTCCTATGTTTTTCGCGTTACAAACACGCCAATGATGACAAAGAGATAGAGATAATGTTGATTTTTATCTAACGTGATCGCGGGGCATTTTTCTGAAAATTATCGAGAAACGTTTGAATTTACCGCAAAAGACATGGGCCAGTGTATCAGATATAGATCCACGTAGCCGAGTCCAAAGTTCTCCACGGATCTTCGACAAGCTGGCACTACGTTATTTCGTTTATGAAACGTGTTCCACAACTGAAAATCGATTTTATTAATATCTCGTGAATGAGAATTCTTCAGGGTAAAGCGAATGTACCTTGGTAGTAATAAAAAGATCCTCCCTCTTCACGACCCCTTTCGCAATCTTCTCACGCAATACTTTGCCGATTTCCTTTTCATTCTGATATATGTAAGCGCAATCGAAATGTCGGTATCCAGCATCAATGGCATCGTGCACAGCTTGCTCGACAATCTTCGGATCATCCTAAAGCAACATTTAATTTCAAATATAAATGTATCCGAAGATTTCTTTATTTTGACAGAGAGAAACTACGATAATGAAAATATCCTTAAAAGACTCAATTTCATTTTTATCAATGTACATTAATTTTAATCTTAGTTTAATTTACTCTCTCTTATCTCTGTTTTTCCTCCTTTTCTTAGAAGTAAAAAAAAATTAAAAATAAAAACTGAAATTAATTTACATTGATAAAAGTGGACATAACTATTATAATTTCCTGATTAATTTCAGGTAATATTTTATTCAACTACAAAAATGCATAATTTGACTCATTTGTGAATCATGTTTAAGCAATCAAGCTGTTGTATTGTACAATTCTGTTAATGATCACGAACTTCGCATTATCACTGACATTATACAATATGTCTCTTTCCTTCTTTCTCGTTACAGACACTCGAAGACATCGATAATTAATACAAACGAGTAATTTATATATTTTTTTCTATCTTATATTTATTTTTTCTATCTTATATTTAGGTAATAGAATTTTAAGATTTTAAGATTTTTTAAAAATTTTATACTTACTTTTGCCTGCCATGTACCAAGTCCGAGTATGGGAATTTTTATACCGTTATTCAAGACTGTAGTTAACGCTGCCATACTTACAAACGAAATAACATATACTGACTGTTTAGCGACCAATGCGACGACAACCATATAATTATATGCTATATACAAGATGTCGGGAATAACCGCATCATAACTGTCATCATCTCTTGTGGGTAGACAGAATAATCAAACTAGGATAGGAAAACTCACGAGAGATATGATTATTATCGAACACTTTGTATATAGTAATGTAACATCGGAGAATCGTCTCTTAAAATTACCATAATCATTCAATATAATAAAAATATAAATATATAATCTTATAGAGAATTTTAATTAAATATACATAATGTTTTTGAAAAGTGAAATATTCATTTTCTGGAAAGAATCCAAACTCTGTGTAAAACAATCATAATTACAAATATAAAACATATATTTTTCTAATCTTTTCATTTCCAGATGTTTTGCTACTGAAGTTTAGATCTTACAAGTTTAGATCGTACAGATGTAAAATAATGTTGAAAATACAGAAGTAACGGAATTTGTAAAAAAACATGTAATTATAAAACATTTTTTGCAACTATTTTCATACAATCTTAGATAACAATAACAAATATACAAACATAGTTCGCATATTTTTGTCAGATACAAATTATATTATTTTTATATCAATGTACAAATAATTCTATAAAATTATCTAAGAATTATTCGTTGCAATTTTCCTATCTTTGATCTATCAATTCAGAATGGCTATTCTAAGTATGTTAAAATATATCCAAAGTATAAATCACGGCGAGTCTTTTATGTTTATTGTTGTACTATCTGCTGATCTACCATAGCGGATTTCTTCTTGCTATTTTTATTTTGATTTCTCACTTTTTTCGATTCTTCCACTTTATTTTCAAGGTCGACTCTGGTTCTCGATCGGACGCCAGGTCCCCAGTTTACGGTAGGATTCTGTTGGAAGCGAGATAGATGTTTCTGCCGGGAAATCGGATTTGCGAGAGGATGCATGGCAAGCGAAATTTCCGTCGTGGATGGCGCATTAAGTATCCGAGCGGCTGGGCTATCCTCGGCCAGCTTCTCTCGCTTTACAGGATGCTCCTTCTCCCAGGCACGCACGATGTCCCATATAACATCGTTCGGTGCGTCCGTCTTGATGGAGGTCTTACTCGCGTGCGAGTATGAGACTTTGTATCCCGCGTTTAATAATGCTGATCTAAATGTCAATATTGGTGGAACGTGGCATCTGACTATGGACATCAAACGATTTAAATTATAATACAAAGGTACATCCAATTCCTCGTGTATCATGGTCAGGACACCTTTCATTCTTTTTAAAGTACCCAACTCCATACTATCCAGATCGCATAACAGCCGCGACACAAATTCGTGATTATGCAGAGGTCCTAGCCAAATCGGACCTCCCATGTGTTGCCGATATTGACAATGCTTACACAATTGATCTACCGTGGGAGCATTCGGTAATTTATAATTACTGGAAGTTTTTTTTACAGTTAATGGTTGAAAATTCATACTTTCGCATCCGTTGCATTGATAGAGCATCCCTATCTTACTTGAATTTTCTTTGCACTTATCATGGCTCGTGAAGACCTTGACAAAGACTCTTATATAAAAATCGACGCTTATAGACAATAATGGTGCTATGTACCTTCCGTAACGTCCCGCATAGGACGCAATGCATTGCAGCAATATTCTTAATGCAATTTCATGACAAGATTTTGATTTTATGGATATTGCTCCGTATTTATAGTAACAGGTTTCCGTAACATTACCAGCCAGAATGGCCATATCGGTGGCAGTAACCAGAAGTATACCACCATCAGATACACACTGCACTGCTCCGTCTAGATACATTGAAGGACAGCCATAAGGATCCAAGTCAACTGCATCAAAGCGATTTCGTCTGTGTTGATACATTAACAATGTTGCATCCCCATGATGAGGTGTTACCAGATTCTCAACTCCATTATGTAAAACATTCTGTCTGATGCTATCCACCGCTTTCGCGGAAATGTCGTTTGCAACAATCTGCTGGACACCCTCCACTTCCTTGGCATATCGTATACTGCGTAAGCCTGTTGCGGATAAAGCTTCTAATATAGTAATTCCCTCTTTATCTTTTGCGTCACACAGCACACCAGTCTTATCGTCTTTCTCCAATTTATTCTTCTGCAGCTCTTGGTTAAATCTATTCTTCGCGAAGATTGTCAGCACCGCTATACTAAGATCCCTATTGAATTCTTGAACTGGATTATAAAAAACACTTTTATTCGTAACCAATATCTGTGCTTTCCCCTCGCTTACAGTAGGAACCTCGTCGAGTTTTATCTTCTTCGAACATTGCTCGTGATCCATATTCGCATATAAACACTAAAAAATTAATAAGTATATATACATACAAATATATACAAATCTCAGAAACATTGTAACATGAAATTATACACTTTACCCTTATTTTCATAAAATCATATTATTGTACTTGAAAATATACTCGGTGCTATACTCGCACTTTTTGCTTCTAATTATTTATTTATAATTGAAAAATGATTTCTCTTTATTAATAAGATAACCTGTTTAGCCAACTTTATGATACATCGATGCTTTTTCGAAGAATAGTGAAAGCTGTAGGCCAACCACGTGGATGGTAAATTTTATCAAACGTCGATAAAGTCATCATACTGATGTCTTTGCCCTATAATTTACATTAACTTAATATTGTTGAATCAAGAAAAAAATGGATCAAAAAGAAAAAATGCCTGATAAAAAAAGACTTCAACATTTATTTATGTGATATTCGTACACAAATGATCGCTTATTTCTATCGAATTCTTATATCTACAGTCCAACATTTGTGTGTATATATATATATATATATATGTGTGTGTGTATATATGTATGTATGTGTTTGCTGTTACATTCAGCTAAACTAAAATAAATACATTGTAGTCTATTCTAGGAATCTATTGTGAAACTACGCCGGTTGAACATCCGAGTTTCTATTTTTTATCCTGAACATTTTTTTATCAATTGTTATGAGCGATAAAGTTAATCTTTTTCAATTATGAAAAAATTTGCCAATGAAGAAACTTGAAAGCTGTACAACAAAATCAGAGTTAACTTTCCATTCGATATCTCTTTGTTTCTATAGCTAAATATTCACAAAAGATTAGCTGTTTCATTAAAAAGTTTCGCCGAATAGTTTCACAATAGCTTTCATGTTTTCAAATAAAAAAATATGTTTGCATATGCACATCTTCAGAAATTCCTTAATTATGACAAACCAATTATCATTAAATAAAACAAAATACAAAATTTTTCTATTTCCATCCTCAACATATAAACGTATTTGCTGGAGTATAAATCAGATATTGAAACGACGTTTAAAAAGATTAAACTTCTGTAAACTAAAAAGAGAAAAGAAAATCGCTCTTACTCAATAACGATTTTCTCGCATGAAAATTGGAAAGGACATTATAATTTAAAATATATACACGTTAAATATTTTTCAATTGTGTCGAATTTTACTTAAAATTTCCATTTTTATATCTGTTTTTTCTAATATTGAGTGAATTTAAGGAATTCAATACATTTCAATACAACAGAATTTTCGTTTAATAAATTATGGATATGTCAGACGCCTGTTATGTTTAAATAATATAAAAATTACTAAATTATTTGAAAATTTTACTATTAGAATCCTTTTAAATATTTCTTATGTCATTATTCAGTCATAAAACAATTTTATTTATATTATAAAAATTTTAAGTATGAACTTAAGTATGAATAATTTCTGACAAGTTCTTCTGACGAATTAGAATGGGAATGATTGATCGACAATCATTTTTAGAAAACATTACTTTATACAGCAGTAAATATTTCCCATTACCAAGAAAAATATTTGATATTTTTCTTGATAATATTATTGTATTATATAATTATAAAACAATTAATGTTTAATTTATGACATCATAAAAGGCAATTTTAAGTAATAGATTTCAAATGTCCTGATAGTATTCACTTGATAGTATTCTGGAGATTATTTCTATCGATATCTACACTGAAAATGAATTCACATATTGGCAGACCATCATTTCTGTAGAAAACTCTAAAGTTTTATACATCAGCAAATACTTCTCCTACATTATCGAGAAAAATATCAACATCTTAATTTTAGAGTTTAGATTAGTCTGACATTCATGAAAATCAGAAACTCGCACTTCTCACGCCACATCCTTTTCTCGTATCTGTTTCTTGCAAGGAGAACCCGTTTCTTCTTCATCTTCCGCTTTGCGTTTTTTCCTTATTAAATGCGAGATATCGCTGGCAGGTTTAGACGTACTACTGCCACTTCCGGAAGCCTCATTCGTTTCACCAACATTAGAGCACCCATTCAACCTCTCTTCTTTAATTTCTTTAATCACATTGGCTTCTTTTTTAAGTCTTTGATGTCCGTGATTTTGTCTTTAATCTCTGGGAGAAGTTCCTGCAGCTCTTTGATCTCTCCTTCGATAGTGTAGAAAGGATCGTCAGATCCCTTTGGATGTTGGGATGGATCCTCTTGCGCCGTCCTCAGATGCATGATCTTCATTTCCAAGAACTGCACCGCCTTTCCGAATTGCTCGATACTGGCGTCGAAGTCATTCGCTATCGCATATGCCAACCCAAGTTGATAATAAATTTCAGCGATTGCGCGATGATTACGCGGGGTTATCTTTTCAAGTAGATTCAAACAAGCTTTGAAATCGATTAGCGCGCTCTCGTGATTGCTACCCTCCATCGCGACTTCGCCTAACAGACGGTAAGCCTCAGCCAAGAACTTCCAGCCCGGAGGACCACGTTTTACTAGTACCAGTTTTGCCAATTCCAAAACTTCCCAAGCGATCTAGAACGGATATTAGATTTTGCAATGATTTACAATCAGTTCAATATCAATATTTAAATAGTTATCGTATAAGTTATAATTGTATAAATTATATTAAATTTAGCCATTGAACAATTCAATATGAGAAGCAAAAATATTTGCTAAACTTAGATATACTAACATTGTATTAATAACAATATTAATTAAGCTAAATTACCTGTAGATTATTGATTTCATCGTCATCATTTTCTTTCTCAATATCCTCTCCATCTGCTTCTCCGTCTTGATTTTTATTCATACCACTACCAGAAGGTTCGCTGTCTTTATGTAAATCAGAATCATCTCGACTACAACCAGGAATTTCTTCTTTTTGCTTGCTCTTTTCTTCGACCTTGCTATCGATTATTTTATCGGACTCTTTTGTTTTATCAGACTCTTTCGTATCATCGGATTCTTTCGTATTCTCATCCTTTTCATCCGCCTCCGTGTCCTTCGAATCTTCATCTTCTTTCTCCGTTGCTGCCTCTTGCTTATCATCTTCTTTGCCGTTCGATGTGCAAGGGCTACTCTCGGTATGATTACCATCTGTTACAGCCTCCTCCTCGTTTTCCTCCTCTTCCTCCTCGTCACCTTGCTCATCCTGACTGGTTTCCTCGGATCCAGGCACACCACCCCCTAGTACTCCTGCCTCTTCGCGTGCCAAACCCAGAAGAGCTCGTCCGTAAAGTAGGTAGAGCTCACCCATTTCATCACCGGTCTCTCCGTGCTCTTCAGCAAGGAGTTCACAGGCACGAGCTAGAACGGTTACCGCGAGGTGATAATCACGCACTAGGAGATGGCGTTTGCCTTGAGAGATTGCTGTCGCGGCATCCTTGATCGGCACTTCCTCCGATACATCGGCCATCTAAGGAACAAAAACAGAAAAACATTTATATATCATTTATATAATTATTTTTGGGAGTGGAGACAAGAGCAATAACATATATAATATCGAGAGATAGAGCCGATTAGCAATAAAGAATATTATTTGAAATAGGGAAGTAGAAAATTTATCACAATTTTTTCATGTTCTTTTCACGATAGATTCAAAGACATTAAACCTACGACAAACGCATAGAATATTTCCAAATATATTAATAGCTTTTTCATTAAACTAGTTACTGGTATTAAAATATCTATCCTTTAATTGCAAAAGTGTATGTCGAGTTCGTTTTGAGCTATGTGAAGAGAGATTGGATCCTTCATGAAGATCGGTACATCTTCGTTTTCATTATTTGACAGTTTCCATTCGAAATAATACGTCAATATCGCTTCTTTTATTATGAATTTTCTATTCCGGTATTTCGACTTACAAAAGTTGAAAAATTTTAATCGACTTCTTAGCTTCTAATAAAAATTCACGTGTAGTTAAGTGTAAACAAGAATCTTATTTTCAGAAAAGATTTCAATTTAAATTATTCCTAACGAATTATTAAACGGCCTTTAATCTTCGTTCATAGAAAAATCTCAAATCTCAATATTTGACGCAACACGGGTCTTAATCATCCAAGGCTATTTCGGAAGACGCAGAAGAGGGTGTGTGAGTGTGATAAGGTGGACAGCACCGCAGCATCCGCGGGTGGGGAAGGAGAGGAACTGGATGGTTGTCCGCGTGGGTCGATTCGGCATGGCGCTTTGACGGTGGGAAGGGTGAGGGCGTCCGCATCGCGAGGATGTCGGGGAGAGAAAGCGAGAAAGAACAGTGCTCCAAGGGCGCACGTCGACCAGTAACGAGTCGGGGGACGCGAGCGTCGCGTTGCAGGCGTCGCCCTGGGCGCCGCCGTCCTGGGAGCCGATGGAGCCGACCCGCGTGCCCCGGGGGGGTCCCGCTTCACGCCTCATCTTCCTCTTCGTCACGCTCGTGCTGACCTTCGCAGGTAAAGAAACGGAATGGAGAACGCGCCGGGCGTTCGAGAAAGACTGACAATCTCTCGAATGACAAACCGGTGCACAGATTAATCTATCGTGCATGCGATTTTTTTATAATATATTTTGGGAATGCGGAAAATATATTTTACTATAGAAATTGAACGAAACTGTGCAGTTTTTCTATTCGCTTTTTCCAGAGAGAACATAGATTTTATTGTGAAACGGGGCTTAATAGAAAAATGGGAAGGAACCGATTTCGTTTCGATTCGATAACTTTTTTTCTTTCTCGTTTCTCAGCAACGGGACTCCTGTGCGGCGCGATAATGTCGGACCATTGGGAAGAAATCAGCTGGGACAAGGAAGATCTGGCCCACGCGAATGTCAACCTCACGTGGTATCTGAATGGTCAGGTGGCAAAGTTAGAGTCTTCCGTCAATCACCGAAATAGACATCGTGTCGCCAAACGTCCGTCCTTCTTAGTTCCCATGCACGGCGGAATTTGGATTATGTGTGTTTCATTGTCAGGTAAAAATTGTAGCAATTTTTAATTTTAAACCTAAGACAGCATATACATATCTTTTGTACATATTCAGAATTCTTTTAAATACATTATCTACGAATTTGTGAACGCGGAATACTCCAATGTTTTTCATGACTTACTCTAATTTAGATTATAAGTAGTTTCATTTTTGACAATTCTAATCGCAATAATTATTTATAAATGTTAATGTCAGAGATACCAATAATAATAATAATAATAATAATAATAATAAATAGACGGAAATAACGGGAATAAGGAAAGGAGGAAAAAGGAAGCATAAAGAGGGAAAAAGAAGGAATTTTTATAAAGAATGAAGATGAAAAAAATTATTCATAATCGCGCGCATATTAGACGGTTATCTTGTTCTCTCTAATATCTAGATCTTATTAAGATCACTGTTGTTCGCGTTTTTCCACTCGTGCCGATAAAAAACATTATCGGTCTTATGAATCGGCATACAAGAATCGAGTCTAATAGGACGGTGTTGTACAAACCCACGGAAAAAGCAAGGATCACGGTCACGCGATCGTATGGATGTTCTGTGCTGTTTAAATGGTACAATTCGACGGTTCGATATCTCTGGCCAGAGTCAAGGTGATACGTAAATATAGTCAGATAGTCAGTATAAGTAATACAGACACAGTAATATCTTCCGGTGAAAGTCTGACGTATGATTTATTGCATTTCTACAAAACATAATAAATATTATTTTTTTCGTCAATCTTTCTTTACTAATTCTAGGTCTGTTTTTTTTCTTTTTTTTCTTTTTTTTTTCTTATTATTCTCAGTCGCATAAAAACAACGATTCCTCGATGTTTTAATTAATGAAAATTGACTCCAAATAGATTAAATAATTTACAAATAGGACACGCAACACGATAGAGAATATCAAAAATATCAATATTTAAGCAAATAACGCCCTTCTATGATGAAACGTTGGAATGGATATTTATGATTTCGTCAAATGCAGCAATATAATAACGCGCGCGATATATTCCCTAATTGAACAGATACAACCTTGAAGAGTACTCGAAGAATTCGGAGTCGTAATTTTCTCATTCAGTTATTTCTGCCGGAATTACGTTCATAGCGTCTAAACACGCTAAGCACTGCCTAGCACTACCTGTACCGCTTTTGCACGTGACATTCATATCACGGCCAAGGTGTCAAAGTTTTTTTTACAATTCAATCAAAGGTTGTATCAAAAATGTGATAACAAAGACATAGTCTTTGTTATTCGACAACTTTTTTAAAACTCGCAAAGTGCCGCTTCCTCCCATTTTTTTTACAAACTAATACCATTTTATTTTTTTGATTCAAAAATCGAAAAAATATCGTTTGGAAATGGAAACATTAGGAAGAAGTTTTAACAAACTTTCTTTTTTAGTGGCATTTAAGTTAAGAAATATGAAAAACAATTATTTTATGATAATTTTAAATAATTTAAAGAAAGCAACTAGTCTTCGATATAATAAAAATTTTTAATCTTAAAATTTCATCTATTTGCAATAATGAAAAGAAGCACTGACTTATTTATATAAAATTATAAATCGCATTTGTTCTTTTAGAGGAAGAGATACAACTGTTGAGTCAAGTGGGTTTCTCGCAAGAGAAATGCGTCAATTACTTGACACCAAATGAAGCACAGGAGATGCGTGTGGCTTGGCAAAATCGTAAGCAAATATATAAAGCAAATCAAAAAATTTAGTGCAATATTAGCCGTTTAAAAGATCGTTTTGTCCTTTGGTGGAATAAAATCATAATTTTTTTCTATACGTTTATAAAAATTTTCATCGGACATTGTCCCGATATACAAATTTTATTTTATAATCGAGAAATGTAAATTATATAATTTTATAATCGAGAAATGTAATTTATATAAGCGACTCTATATTTTGTTACAGGAATGCAAAATCTGAGTATTTCGTGCTCCCTGGTGTGCTTAATCATTTTAGGATGTGCTGTGCTTATAGGATTTTTCGGACTATGCAGGCATCAGATATCGGCTGTGCTCGTGACAGGGGTGATGTACCTCCTTGCAGGTAGAGTTATTTATCAACCCATTTTAGGGTAGATTGATGATCTATCCAGATTTGAAATAAGCGAATTTCGCTCTGTCTGCTATCGATCCTTTGCCTTTCAAAATTTTACTTCATACTTATGACGTAACGAAACATTCTATTAAATATAAATAATTCTAATTAAAATAAATAAATATTGAGTACGCATGTCTATATACACGCTATTGAAACAAAACTCACAGAGAGTAATGGTAAGAGAGATAAATTCCTGCGTATTCCATCGCATTGTAATGCGATGTAAGAAGAAATAAAGAAAAAAAAATTTTAATCTAAAAAAGAAACTTAATCGTCGAATATTTAAAATGTTAAGCAATGATGATTTAGCCAAGAATCATTGGATTTCATTCCAGCGACATTCGCGCTGTTCACGCTCACGATCATCCACTTCAAGAGAGCCCAGGGCCGTGGGACCAAATCAATGGTGAATGGGCATGAGGACGGCGTGATCGGTACGCCTGTTATTCACAGTGTCCTTAAAGCTAGAAGAGTCACCACCGCATGGAGCATGGATTTAGGATGGGGTGGAGTCACTCTCTGTGCCCTCGCGTCGGTAGCCTGGATCCTCCTCAGTAAAATCATGCGCTTCAGTCCAATTGCGACTATGATAGCGTAGCAGTGGGAAGCCTTCGAGGTCTAAGGTCGTTTCTGGGAGCCACATTTCCGCGTTCCTTTCGGATAACACTTTCCTGATCGGTCATCAGTTAATTCAAGAGATGTTGTTTCTCTGCTTTAATCCTTCACAGGATAGTCGCATTCTTCAAACGTTCTTTTGAAATTATCTCGCTTTCAATTTTACGCTTGAACAATCTGCACCAACTTAATAAATCTCAAATATTTATCTCCTGCTAGAATATTGACTAGATTTCAAGAATGTAGATTTCTGAGATGTAGGAATATTCCTCTAGCTATTAAAGTTTTTTCCGAAAAGGATCGCAAACTGGAACGGAAGATATAATATTTTGGAAGAGAATGAATCCAGAAATGACCGTCTCGAAGGCGATTGCGTCTAGGTGTCTATTTTGTATCATTTATCTCGTTTGCACAAATGTTAATTATTTCAAATCGAGAGAATATGAGTTTATCAAAGAGATAAAGAGGTTCTCCGATTAAAGCATACAATTCGTCGTCATAAACAGCCAGAAACACCTAGAATTTCAATGTTTGATCGATGCTTCGTAGAATCACTGAATATGCTGATTTGATAATTTCTATTTACCTGCATCGTATAATACTCGACTTATTTACTGTAATTAAACATACTCACTAAGATTCGAAAGACATAAAAGATATAAAATTAACAAACTTATAACGTATATTTATGATATAAAAAGACAAGATGTAACGTCCTTACTGATCTCTTGCCGATGCGCAGTGAATGACTCAGGAATTAATTGAAAGATGTTAAAAAATAATCTAGCACTAATATTATTATAAATATATAAATGCTACAAATTAGGATTGAACAGTATAATTTTTTTAAACTTATCAATTTGATTTGTATTAACGATTTTAGTAATCACTCTAAAATATTTGCTCATCAATTTATCATTCTCTTTCAAATTTCTAGAAATTTTATTTTTAATCACTTTGTTATGGATTATTAAATCTACAATTTTTCACTTGGCTTCTATATGTAATAGCAAGTTTTGATCATTATTCTGCGCAGTTGCACGTCTTTTTATGTGAAAACAATGAAAATGTTGTTGGTATTAGAGAGCATAACAGTTCTCTGGTATATCAATTGCCTATAATGTAATCCAAATGCCTTATTATTAGACAAATAAGCAAGTAAAGTTATTTGTAAAGCGTAAAATAAAAATTAATGAATAAGAGTGAGGTACATAAAGTGTGATATATCAATTTTTCAAGAAGATATGATACAATTATTAAATTTTCTTTATAAGAATTATTTTATATATTACTTTTTTACAATTTTTATGTTCCGACAAATTGATTAATCACACCTTAAGTACCTCAATCTATTTACAGCATAAATTTTTTTAATCAGCGAGCTTGTTTTTGCTACAATTTATAGCAATTAGATGATATAATTACGCACAATACGTGTCCTGCATGAAAAAATCGCGAGCTGCATTTCGTCCATTAAAAATTAAGAATCTTTGTCCGTGCTTTAAAAGGATATACCACATTTTTCTAACGCGTTCTTGCCATATTTTTTTACGCAATTTTTGTTACTTGTTATATCACTTATATACTGAGCACAATAAAAAAGTTATAAAAAATCGCTTGTTGAAAACTATTTGTATTCATGTTAATTATTCTTAAACTGTCATGTACATTTTTCACAGTGATGATTAAAAATATAATTGATAAAATTTTGCAATCTCATTATTTTGAAAAACTAATAAAATGCCTTTCTACATTTACATTATTTTTATATTTTAATTAAGTATTCGATATTAATATTTGAATTAAAAATATTTTTACATTGTAAATATTTTAATGAAAAAAAAGATCTCTTCTAATATGAAATGCTAGTTTTCCACATTTCGAAGAAATTATTCAAAATGAAAAATGTTTATAATTTCAAAGTTCATTCTCACGTTGTGAAAACGCTGTGCAGTTACAACAAATTCATTTAAATAAATTATTAGTCGAATATGTGAAAAGCAAGCAACATTACAATTTCGCGCGCTTGCTCAGTCGATACGACAGATCTCCAAACGTAACCTTAAAAAAATGTCCCATCTCATCAACACTTCCTTTCGCTTCATTATCGAGAAAAGCATCTTCCTCAGCAATAATATTCATTATTCTCTTTGAAATATGAAGAAAATCTTGTTCTACACAAATACCAAAAAAACCTGTTCATTATCTCGTACTTTCTGCACATTCTCAGACTCCTCTTCTTTCCTTCGCCATTTCAAGCTAGTTCTTTTATGTTAAATACAGAAAGTGCGATAAAGTGCGCACAAAGCTTCCTTTTATCACATTGATATTCAGAGAGTATATCACTCGTAAATAAAGTTGCTGCGTACGAAAACTGTGTGCTCTCCAGTTCTCCCTACCTCTTTTAATTGACTGCTCCTCTTAAATCTGCGAATCTTGCAGAAGAGATAATTAAATCGCCGGGGAGAAAGAGAAAGGCGGTTTGCACGCTCGCGTATTTGATTGCATCTCGACGAGGCCGATATTTCTTTCTAGTGAGATGTCGTAGCCACGTCGGGCATGTACATACCTTGATCGATCCTCAAGATGATGTCGTTTCGGTACACTTCGGTAAGTCAACGTCCTCGAATCCTACAAATCGTAGAAAAAGCGTGGCACGAACGATGCAGCCAACTTCCGTTATTGCACGCGTGAACTGTGTAACCGGTGCGCGGGCAAACTTTGCGAAGACTCGATGTATAGTCATCGACGATAAAAATTTAGAAAGATGGTCGACTTTATGGAGATGACAGCCTTGAAATGAGCGAGACTCGATAGCCCATCATGGTCGCTGATTGGTCGATCAATCTCCATTTCCACCAATATAAATTAACTTTGATTTCGATTAAATTTATTTACTATTTTTATAGTTCTACGAATTAAAAAAGATAAATTGAGTCGAGATCAAAGTTAATCTACATTGATGAAAATGAAAATCTCTCACCAATCTTTGGTTAAGTTAAGCTCGAGTGCACCAATGTTATTATTTTGATTTTAAATGAGACTTAAACATGTATCTGTCTTTATCTTTTTTTCTGAAATGAATAGAAACATATTTTCTCTCTGGTTCTATGCTTAATTATAGATGGTGGCGGTGGCGTTATGGCGATTTCGAAGATGTCATGAAGAAGCCCGGATCATTCTAAGGCTTCTTTATAATAAAGCTATGATCATACAAGACATTTTTAAAACATTTTGACTGGCTGTGAAATAGTAAAATTATCAAGTCTCCAGAAATTTTCTATCTTGTAACCAATTACATTTCAGAAAATTTATTATATGATAAAATGTTAACCTTACTTTTTCGTCATACAACTTGATGTGATAGTGACACGTGTTTTTGTTAAAACTATGTTGCTTATATTTTTCAACTTTTCTCATTTTTGTTTAATATTTTGATTATCTTTATATCTATATTTCATTTTAAGAACAGAAAATATGTTATAAAGAATAGATGAGGAATAGTCATTGTATAGTGCAATATAAAAAGAATCATTGATCATTTATTTGTTTCGATTCGATGGAAGGTTTCTGGACTGGTTTCTGCATAAAATCTATCATTGATGATATTATTTTTTATTTTACTGGTGATACACATAAAAAGTCATCGGCAATCAAAGTAAATAGTGAGAATTTATTGGTAAATGGAGAGTTACATTTTCTATGCAATTTTAAAGCATGGAGGAATCTCTTTACTTGCTCCAAAAATTGTATAAATATCCTGCAACATCTTGCACATGCACATGGTGCAACGAAAGACGATATAGACGCGGATACGGCTGAAGAGGTAAATAAACACTCTCAATATTAATTATGTAGAATTAGCTTATTCCAAAATTGGAAAATTCCTAAATCTTTATAGATCTTTGAACAGTTAATATTAAAAAGTAATAACTGGCCAATAAGGATACAAAGATGTATGTTACAAAAGGAAAGGGTCTGCTTATTTCTGAATCGAGAAGATATCATTGCGAGCAGTATAAAGATGGCTGTTGAATGCAAGATGACACTTGGAAAAATTAAATCAACTGGTAAAATATTTATATTAAAATATCAACATGATGCACAATCAGCTCTTACTACTCAGAGATTGCATTTAATAAGAAATGTTACTGCAAAGGCATTAAATCTACATGGACATATTGTATTATCAACTGGAGAAAATTGCACTAATAAATACATATTCACCAGCAAATCAGAAGGATTAATTGATGAAGGATATAAAAAATATGTCTGTGGCATTGTAAAAAATTCTCAAACAAATTCAAAAGAAACATGTTTTACATGGGAACAATATATAAAATATAAAATGAACCAACTAGCAGAATTAAGCGAACATAAATTTATTGAAAATGAAAAGAATAATGCAAAAGATTTCTTCTTGCATAATTTAGCTAATGCTGTTATCATTTTTGAATTAATGACTGTGAAGCCAAGTCGATCAGTTATTATTGGAAATAACAATGTCGAAGACGATAGAAATATTACAAATACTAGAGGTATATTTTGTATTAATAAATTATTAATTGTTAAACTTAATTTTTTGCTTAAAAAAATTGCATTAATTTGTTTGCTTAAAAATGATTTTGCTATTATTCCAAAAAATGTTTAATCTTATTTTTTAATTTTGTTTAACAAATATGCATATTACATACAGATAATAACAAACAAAATTGTGTCCTTATTAATGAAAATAATGCAATTACTTAGGTGCATCATTTGTATTATATAATACTGCAAGAATAGCAGCAATTATAGCAAAGTACAATGAAAAGGTATCACGTGGCGAATACCCTAGTTTGCCAGACATAAAAAATGTCGATTTTTCACAATTGCAAGAAGAAGTAAGCAAAATTTCTCTTTTACAGGTTATTTTATATTTTTCCAATTGTGCAATTTTATATATAATAAAATTATTTATTTTTATAATTTTAGTTCACTGTACACTCGTACATCTAAAAGATTTGAATTGCTGATAAATTTATCTGAGTTTTGTTAATTTAAAAAAAAATTTCCAGGAAGAATGGGAGCTTATATTCAATTTTGTTTTCGGATATTCGCAAATGATAAATGATTGCCTGAAGTGCGAGCCAAATTTTTATATTTATCCGCAAGTCGTGTGCTTGTTTTTATTACGATTGTGTCAAAAATTCAGTGTCTACTATCGAAAAGTCAGAATTTTAACGGTAAGAAGAGATTTTATGGTTACACCTTATACATATTTTACATTAATTTGTAATCTGATAAATTTCAGGAAGGAGGTGATCATTTAATTCCTAAGATGGTTGCAAGATTGTACATGTTACATGCGTTGCAAGTTGTCTTTGAGAATGCATTGGACATTTTAGGCATCAAGCCAATGATGCGAATGTGAAGTAATTCCGCAGGAAAAAGCAAAATTATATAGCTAATACATAACTTAATAAATAAAATTATTATACATATTTCCATGTTTAAAAGTTATTTTTATATTTCGTCTTTATACTTTTATATATTTTATCGAATCATGATTATTTCAATTTGTATATTTTTTTTGTTGGACTAATACATGTTATCGCAATGATGTCAATAATTGTCATGTCCAAATTTTTTAATTATTTTCAATTGGTCAAGCTCCGATAAATTTTCTTTCAAATTTTTCATAATTTGTTTGAATATGAAAAATGCAAAACGTGCGTAGCCAAAATAAATAAATTTTTGAATTTATTTAAGAAATTTTTAATTCCAATTTTTTTTTCTATCATATATAATAAAAAATATAAAAATGCTTGGCCAAAGGTTCAGTTTAGAATTCAACGAAGATGAATTTATGCATATATCGAGATATATGTGAATTCATAACTTTTTCCACAAGCATTTAAATTCATACAAAAGACTACATTAACATCGCGTAGAGAAAATAATTCCTTTTTGAGCAATCATATAAATCTCGATGATTTCTGAATACTTGATAATTTCCAAGTATTCACATTCATTCGTATTTCATTATGTTCTTTCAATCGAAAATAAAAATTTCGCCGCTGAAAGACCGAGTCGGGCGCGCTCGGACTTACTCGGTTCAGCTGCGCTGGCCAAAGCGCCTCGACCAGTCACAGCCCACTGGAAGAACGACGACAGCGGCGACGCTGGGCGGCCAGCTGTTTGTTTTGTTTTCGGGCATGAGATTCACGTGACAGCCGGCGGGTGTTGGTGGCGGCACGCGACTGTAGCGGCGGCGTTTATTACGGCGGCTGCGATTGGCTGGGAACGGCGGCAAGCGCGCCACGACGACCAATCGTTGCGGTCGTAAACGCGCGCGGCATCACTGCACCGGAGCGCTACCGCCGCCGAGGTGAGCGTTTGACATCGATAAATGCGTGCGAGTGCTCGCGAAGCGCGGAGGTGCCAAGCTGTCGCTTGCTCGCTCGCTCGGTCGTTAAGTGCGTTCGTCCGTACATTCGTTTCGCGAATCGTCGTCGCCGTTGCCGCTTGAGCCGTTACGTTACGTTTACGTTACACTACTCGGTCGCCGTTCTCGTCTCGCCGTGGCCGCCGCTCTCCCGTTCTCCATTCGCGTTCGGTATTGTTCGTTGTCCGATCAGCCCGCTCCCACCCCGCCGCCGCCGTTCGCCCCTCCGCCCCTGTGGGAAACCTGTGAGAGATCTAGTAGTGCGCTGGGCAGTGCTGATCCTCCACACGACGTAGTGAACAGGCACCGTTGTTAGTCTCTCTCTCTTTCTCTCTTTCTCTTCTTTGTCTACCTCTTTACTATCGCCTATCGTCGCACGTTGTGTGCTTTATCGCCGTGACCCATGCCAAATGTCATCGGACGGATATTAGGCATATGTACGGGCGTATGCGTACGTAAATATACACAGGGGCGTGAATGTATGTATAATATGTATATGTGCGCGCGTGATATTCCGTGTGTACATGTATTCATAATACGTGTGCCTGTGTAGACGTACGCATACGGGGCGCCTCATACGTGCAACGAGGGGACGACGGGATTCTCAGCTGGCGCATTCTAGTGGACGTTCGGGTAGAAAGTGCTGTTGCGCGAAGGCAGGTCGCCTGCCTCTTTGTTTGTGAGTTATCAGCTGGCGCGTCGCTCGCGCCTCGTAACGATAACGGCCGCGATCCGCGCAGCAAACAATAGCGACGAGACCGAATCGTCGGAGGAACTCTCGCACACGCGACGGAGTTTCGTTCAGAATTGCCTAGTATCCGAGATAATCTCGCTTCTCCTCTTCCCTTCTCTGCCCCTTCTCTATTTCGTATGTATGCACATTCGCCGTATTCAATCGCGTTGACAGATGGCTTTTCGGTTAACTTGGAGTACGATTTTTATTCGGAAAGAGAATTTTTTATAATTCTTTAATTGCCGAGATTTTGAGTCGCGAGGAGAGAATTCTTTTTTAAAAGCGTTTTCACGCGAAATAGAAACCGATTTCCTCCGAATTTTATTTATTCTCGAAGAATGCGACGAAGATAGGATATCCGATGTCACGTGACATACGCCGGATATCGAAATGTTTTTAATATTTAATCAATCGAATTGTATGTGAAGTTTACTGAATCGAATAGGTCTACACTGTAATGACTTGAGAA